TGCCCTGCTGGGTTTCAGTCTTGCTTTGGCCCAGCGTTTCTCAATTACTTTCTGATTCTTTCCCTTTGGAATGGTAATATATATTTGGTGCCACTGTACTTTGGAAGTATGTAATTTATTGTTGTTGTTTTTTAATTTTACAGGGGGTTACAATTAAGAGATTGTTTTGAGCCGGGCGGTTGTGGCACAGGCCTTTAATCCCAGCACTCAGGAGGCAGAGGTAGGCAGATCTGTGAGTTTGAGGTCAGCCTGGCCTACGAAGCAAGTTCCAGGACAGCCAGAGCTGTTAAACAGAGAAATCCTGTATCGAAAAATCAAAATCCAACCAACAAAACGAACAAACAAACAAAAAACAAAGAGACTGATCTGACACTTAGGAGAAACACTGAACTTTGAATTTTAAACAGTGCTGAGACCAAAAGGTTGCGGGGACTTCCAAAGCTGCACTAAACGCATTTTGTATCGTGACACAGTCATGAGCCTATGGGCTCCAGGGAGTGGAACGTGATGGTTTAAATGGGATAGCCCCTATTGGCTCACGTTTAAATACTTGGTCCCCAGCAGGTGGAATTGTTTGGGAAGGATTGGGTGTGGCCTTGCTGGAGGAGGTGTGTCACTGGAGCTGGGCTCTGAGGTTTCAGAAGACTCCAGCCATTCCCAGAGAACTGTCTCTGCCTCCTGCTTGTGGATCAGGATGTGAGCTCTCGGCTGTCCCAGCCACCATGCCTTTGTTTTGCAGTCATGGACTCTGACCCTCTGGAACTGTAGGCTCATTATACTTTCTTTCCTAAGTTGCCTTGCTCATGGTGTTTTATCACGGCAATAGAAAAGTAACTAATACAAAGGGTTTCTGATTCAAAGCCCTCGAATTTATACACGCATATTTGGCTTGGTGATGGGAATGAAAGATTCAGGGGCCCTGTATTGTAAGCATAAGCTTTCCTGCTAATTTATACCCCAACATGATTATTGAAAGTTAATGCACTTTTTAGTTGTTGTTTGTTGAGACAGGCTTTCCTCTGTGCAGCCCTGGCTGACCAGGCTGGCCTTGAACTCAGAGATCTGCTTGTTTATGCCTCCTGAGTACTGGGATTAAAGGTGTGTACTACCACTGCCAGTCATGTACTTTATTTTAATGAGTAATTTTAGATTTTCGGAAAAGCTAAGCAAATAGTGTGGAGTTCTTACTCCCTTTGCTCTATTACTAATGTCTTGTATTAACATAACACATTTGTTGTAACTGATGAATCATGATCATTAATTTTATTAAAGCCCACGGTTCCTTAGAATTCACTTTTTGTGTTATAAGGTTCTATGGTAGTGGTTCTCAACCTTCCTAATGCTGCAACCCTTTAATACAGTTCCTCATGGTGTGGTGACCTCCAGCCATAAGATTATTTCATTGCTACTTCATAACTGTAATTTTGCTACTTCTATGAATGGTAATGTAAATACCTGATATGAAACCCCCAAAAGGGGTCACAACCCACAGGTTGAGAATCGCTGTTCTCTGGTTTTGGCAAATTCAGATTTATCACCTTCCTCTCTTCCCTTCCACCTGGGGTCATTGGGTCCCTTTGAGTCCCCACAGTTTGGCCTTTTCTGGAATGCCATACAGCTATGCAGACCTTCAGCCTGGATTCTTGCTCAAATACACAGGGCAGGACCCTCCATGGCTCTGTGAGGACTGATGGCCTCTTTCTTTTTCATGTGGAAAAACATTCCAATGCGTAGATGTGCCAGTTGTCCATTTTGCTTCTTTCTGGCACAATTATGGCTATCACATCTATAAATGCTCATGAGCCGTTCTTGTGTGCATGTAAGTTTTCAACTGACTTGGTTAACTACCCTGGAGGATGGTGGCCAGCACGTCTGGTTAGACCATACTTGGCTTTAGGAAGTCCTGCCAAACATTGTCAACATAGCCAGAATACTCTGCAGTCCCACTAGTAGCAAGGAAGAACTCCTGTCCCACCTCCTTGGCAGCACTGGAGATTGTCAGGGTTTGGTTCTTCTTGTTTGTTTTTTTAATTGGCTACTCTAATGGATGTGTGATAGTCTCTCATTGTTTAAATTTTTCTTCACTGGAGACATACAACGTGAGTACCTTTTTATAGACTTATCTCATATATTTACTTGACATCTGTAGGTCTTCTTTTAAAAAAACTTGTGTTATTTATGAGTGTGTTCATGGTTGTGCCCATGCACAGGTGCCTTGCCTGTGGCATCCAGAAGAGTTTGTCAGAGCCCCAGGGACTGGAGTTACGGGTGGTTGTGAAGTGCTTGACATGGAAGCTGGGAACCAAACTCTGGCCCTCTAGGAGAGCATCAAACGCTCCTACCTGCTGGGCCATCCCTCTAGGCCCCATCTGTGTATCGTTTACATGAAGTATCTGTTCTGATTCTCTGCCCTTTTTAAAACAGGTTGGTGGTTTTCATACTATCATATTTTAAGAGCTCTTTGTACATTTTGAATACATGTCCTTTATCCTGGTCCTATATTGTCAGTAGTCAGGCATGATGACAGTAACAGGTCTGATGCTATCCCTCCGAGGCTCTGACCCTGGCATGTAACAGAATACCACAGAACGGTCAGGAGACAGTTCCGCAGGAAGTCCGATCCTGACTGACCATAGCAGCACCACTGAGTGGTCAGGCCCCAGGAGTGACTCACTGTGTACACAAGTGGCTTATCTGTGAGGGCTCTTTTTCTTGGTGACAGTCACTGGGGGAGTGGTAAGTTTCTCAGATAGAAGCAGAATCTTAAGCAGTTGTTTTCAGTTTCACAGCATGTTAGAGCCGCCTGGAAAGATTTAAAACTCCCACTGTCCACGCTACAGTCTAGAACAGTGAATTCCAAATCTCTAGGGGTAGGGTGCAGGCATCTGTAACTTTTTTGTGATCCCCAGCTGACCCCAGTATTCGGTCAGGACAATGTACAAAGAGAGATCCTGGAGTTTCACTCTTTGGGTCTTGGCCACACAGGTACCAAGATGTCCAAGAAGCAGTCTCTGGACACTGTGAGACAGTGACACAGTGGCGCAGAGACACAGTGAGACAGGCCTGTGAGACAAGCTAGTAGTTACGAAGCAGAGAGCCTAGCCAAGTCCTGAAACTGGGCTGCCCTGGCATAAACCAAGAGTGCCCTGCCCACGGGAGCGACAGTCAAGACCGGATTCTGTGGTTCCCTTGCCTCACAGCGCTCACATGCAGCTAAACGGTTGAGCAGAGACCCGGAGAGCAAGGGACAAGTGAGATGGGTTGAAGGAGGATGAGAAGAAACGGACTAAGGGGTACACAATCATGGCTAGACAGGAAAGCGAGTTCAGGTGCTCTACGACACAGGGGGCCATCAGAGTTAATCATATCATATACTTTGAAATAGCGGAGGGGGTTTCGAATGTTTCTGTCACAGAGAAGTGGTAAGTGTTTGAGGTGGTGGCTAGCCTAAGTATTGTGAGCTGAGCAACACACAAGGTAAAATGAACAAAAGCTCCCATGCGTAGAACTCCACTAAACTTCTCAGAGATGCTCAATTACCCGTCCATCTTAAAAGTTTTAACTTTAGCCAGGCGGTGGTGGTGCACACCTTTAATCCCAGCACTTGGGAGGCAGAGGCAGGCAGATCTCTGTGAGTTCCAGGCCAGCCTGGTCTACAGAGCGAGTTCCAGGACAGCCTGCAAAGCAATACAGAGAAACCCTGTCTTGAAAACAAAAAACAAAACAAAACAAAAAGTCATAATTTTAAAAGAACCATGTATTTTGTTATCCAGGTTATAATTTTGTGTTTCTTGTATTCTCAGGGTTCATTTCTCTGCTGTCCTCTTGCCTTTCTTAGGTGCATACTTTTGCTTTGCTTAGAACCAAGAGGAAGCCATCCTATCTTCTCTCACCTCGTTTTTTTAAAGTAAGAAAGAGATGCTGGGTCCTCTGAAGTCATTGCGACTGTGACATCAGGTTATGAAGTAAGAGACCCTCCATGAGAGACAGAACTTGGGAGCAGGTAAAGGCAGGAACCATCTGTCATTTCTCACCAATCTATTTCCTAAAAAACAGCTCTTCCTCCGGGCGTTGGTGGCGCACACCTTTAATCCCAGCACTCGGGAGGAAGAGGCAGGTGGATCTCTGTGAGTTCCAGGCCAGCCTGGTCTACAGAGCGAGTTCCAGGACAGCCTCCAAAACAATACAGAGAAACCCTGTCTCGAAAAAAAAAACCAAAAAAAACCCAAAAACAAACAAACAAAAAAAAAAAACAAAGCCAAAAAAAAGAAAAAAAGAAAAAAAAAAGAAAAAGAAAAAGAGAAAAGAAACAGCTCTTCCCGGATTTCCTAGTAAAGACTGGCACTGTGATCCACTTTTCTCTTGTCCTCTCTGATTTAACAAACATTTGCTGCACTGTTCACTGTGTTCCACAAACGCTGTGAAAGGCACTGTGGACCCGTGAGCCCCATTGACTATTCCTGCCCTTAGAAAATGTACGGTTCTCCAAACTCAGCATGGAACACTCCTACTTAGCTTCAGCTGTCAACCCGACACTGCTCAACTCAGAAAAGCTGTCTGAGTATGAACCAGAGGAAGCAAGCCAGGAGGCGGTGTTCCTCCATGGTCTTTGCTTCAGTTCCTGCCTCGTGTCCCTGCCCTGACTTCCCTCAACGATGGGCTGTGACCTGAAAGTATAGGTTGAAATAAACCCTTTCCTTCCCAAGATGCTTTTGGTCAATGTGTTGTCATAGCAACAGAAAAGCAAACTAGAACAGAAACTAACAGTATAAATCAGAAAAAAGAATACAAATTTTGTTAAGAGTGAGTAAAGAAAAAAGTGTGGCTGGGTAGGGGAGGGTCAGATGCCAGTTTGCCTCCCATCATTTTCTCATTTGTTAAAAGAATTTAAATATCATCTATTTCATACAGTTGCCTACCAATTCGCTCACCCATGCATCAAACATTTACTGGGCAATCACTAGGCAACAGGTGCTAGGAAACAGCAGTGGAGGAAACAGAAAGGCCCTGTGCTCTCTGAGGTGGGTGGAGGCAGACAATGAAAAGCAGGCAAGATGTGTGGAGCATCCGCCAGTGATGAGCACTCCGGAGAAAAGTGGCAGTGAAGAGGACCTGTTGGCACAGGTCTAAAAGACCCAGAAATGCAGGAGGCCGAGGTAGCAGGAGCCCAAACTTAAACCCCAGTGAGTGAGACAGTGTCTCAGTATGAAAAGTAAAATAAAGGCTGGGGTCATAGCCCATCCACAGAACGCTTGCCCAGCATGGGTACAGTCCTATGCTCAGCTCGCAGCACTGTAGGGTCAAAGGAGGGGGTCAGAAAATGTCAGCAGGGGCCAAGAGTGGGTAAATGGGCGAGGAAGTGAGCCGTCTCTGCTGCTATTAAAGGAATGCACACATGCCAGGAGTCAAGGCAGGAAGGGACCTGGGTCACTTGAGACACCCAAGTCCAGAACCTAGTATGGAATAACTAACCTGAAGGGAAGCTGTAAGAAACCAGGGTCTACTCTAGACTCTTGGGAGCCCTGTAACATCTGAGTCACCCTCTAAGAGAACCGAGGAGCCACTGTCCTGATCTCAGGAGTTCAGATACAACATCTACCTTGCTTTTTAACAGGATCATTTTTCCTAAAGGTCCTGTGTTGAAGGCCTTCTCCTTGGTGATGGCACTTGAGGTAGGGCCTAATGGAAAGGTGTTAGATCCACAGGGGCATGCATGATCTTGAAGGAGATGCTGGAATCTTAGCCCCTTCCTCTCTGCTGTCCAGTTGCTACAAGGTGACATCTCTGCTTCACTATGTATGGGCTATCATCACAGATCCAAAGGGACATGACCATGAAACCATGACCAGAAACCTCTAAAACCATAAGCAAGAACCAACATTTCCTCCATTAAAGTTCATCAGAAAGCTGACTAGTGCTTACAGGGAGGCAAGCATATGGGCAGAGAACAGTTGGGAGAGCAGCCATGGCGTGTGGGGGTAGCTATTTCCATAGGGTGATGGCCTGGAGGCAGAAGGAGGCTGGGTCTGGGATGCTGTAAGGCAAATCCAGCCAGCCTTCCTGGTGGTTCTATTTCAGAGTCAAAGAAACCATGCACCAGCTTTTCACTCAGCAACTGGGAGGATGGAGTTGCCATTTTCTGAGGTAAGAAAGATTCTGGGAGGCGGGACTATGAATGTGGGAGCTTGGTTCTAGATATGTGAACTATGAGAAGCCAAAAACACAGCCAAGGAAGGCAGTTCTGGATCAATTACTCTGAAGTGTGGAGGGAAAGGACTCGTCTTGATTAAAAAACGTGGGAGTAATCAGCATACAGAGGCCTCACAAAGTCAGGAAACAGATGAGGTGAGACAGATGAAGCCATTTGCATAACTGTTATGAGGAAGAGGTACTACAGAATATCCATCCTGGCACTGGGCATAAAAGGCTTCCCCCTTGCAAGTCATAAGGCAGAACTGGCAAGGCGGTTTTAGAATCAGTTAATTTACCTCTGGCTGCCCCCCTCTCCCCTGCATCCTCCTCTTGTTCCCATGTTTTTTGTTGTTTTGTTTTTTCTGTTTGTTTGTTTTTTTTTTTGGTTATTTTTGTTTCTGCTGAGACAGAAATAACTAGGTAGCTCTGGCTGGCCTTGAACATGCATGTGACTCCCTGGATTGGCCACCCAAGTAGCTGGGAAGACAGCTGCCACACAGCCTCCTCCAACAGCACTTCAGACTGACCCATGCCTACAGGCTTTTCTCAACTGGCCTGGTTTTCAAGCAGCTCTTGGGGCTAAAAGTTGCTGGTTTCATACCTTTGTCTTCACGTGAAATTCTTCGTGAAATTAGATTTGAGTATGTAAGTCTCTAGGTACCTGCACAGCTACCAGCTGTAAAACACCACACTGTGCATCAGACAGTTCCCATAGAACATTCACCCAAGCCCAGCTAAAAGAGATAAAAACCCGAGTTTGACCAATTTAGTGTGCAGAAGGCTCATGGGATCTCAGAAACCACACACCCCAGCACCAGGGTCTGGTTCTCCCATGGCATCCAGATGGCTGTCTCCCAGGACTAATGGGCAGCCACCTTCTTAACTCATGGTGTCACATTCCTGAGCCTGAGATTTCCTTAGGGTTCTGGGTGGGACATCGCCACTTTCAATCCTTGCTGAAACATCACTTTCCCGGGGAGTCCTGCAGGCACTGTCCTCTTACACAAGCGGTGTTCTCCACAGCATCTCCCTCTGTGCCGTTTTCCTCCCTAGCACATAATACTTTGTATGTATGGGAACTTATTTACAACATTTTAAAAAGATTGATTTTTATTATTTATGTGTGTGCTATGTGTGTGCGTGCCCACGGAGGCTAGAAGAGGGCACTAGATTGCATGAAGCTGGAGTTGCACCCCATTGGGAGCCATCAGATATGGGGGCTGAGAACTGAACTCCACACTCTGCAAGAGCAGCCAGTGTTTTAAACCATTGAGCCATATATTTCCAGCCCCCACACATTTTGTTTATTGTACAATAACTTATCAAGATCTCTGCTGAATGAAGGAGGAGTGCTCACCCTCCTGCTGCCATGGGGATGTTTATCTCTGAGCTCTTTTCACACGGGAAGCAAGCTATAGCAGAACCATTTCAGACCACCTACAGCCTCCTAAGGGACCAGACGTGAACTCCTGAAGGTAGACTGTGGCTATGAGCACTAAGGCCAAAGGGATAGTCCTGGGGGCAGGTGGGATCAGCTCTTGGGCAACCTTGTGGCCACCAGCACTCACTACCTGTGACCTCACATCTTCCTTACTCTGGTTCACTCTCCCCAGAACTCACTACCTGTGACCTCACATCTTCCTTACTCTTGCCATTATATCCTTGATGGTTTTCTCATCTTCTAACTCACTGCTCTCTGAATCTTGCTGGCCTACTTTCTCTCACCTTGCTCCTTCCTCTAAGGCTCCATTATATTCCATGAGGCCTTCACTCCTTTGTATCTGCAGCCTCCTCAATGAGTGTTCTTTTTTACCTTCTGCTCTCAGAGAAACCTAGTCTCCTTTGAAAACGCCTTCTATCACCTTCCATGAAGGAGGCTTTTTGTCTCTACATTGCACACCTGGGGATGCCTGGCATGCCCTCCATACTCTGCCATGTGTCCGAACCATCAGCATAGACGCCACCCTTACTTTAGGAACGAAACATGCATTGCTTATGCTACACAGCAAAGCCACCGCCCTGCTGCTGCCATTTACCCCTGCTCTGTTCACTACGCTAACGTGACTGCAGTCAGGTATGAAGGAGGCAAAGCAGAGTACAGGTTTTCTTTGGAAGTTCTGCCTTCCCCGGCGGTAAGCCAATAAAAAACCCGGGTAAGGACACAGGGGAGGCTGCATCTCATGCTTGGGTCAGTACACTTATGGGAATATGATACTCAGAGCTAGTGAGATGTAGACCTAGGCATTTAAAACCCACGCCTGATTCCAGAGCCTCTTTTTGCTTTTGCAGTTTTTAGTTATATTTTTATTAGTTTATTTCCTGTGCATAGGTATGGACACTTGAGAGGAGGTCACAGGACAACTTACAAAGGTCAGTTCCCTCTTTCCATCATGTGGTTCCTGAGGCTCAAACTGAGGTTAGCAAGCTTGGTAACAAGTGCCTTTACCTACTGAGCCATCTTGTCAGCCCTGTTTTTGTTTTCTGTGGGTCTTTCCTTATATCCCAGGCTGGCCTTGAACTGATGTAGCCCAGGCTGACTCGGAACTGGAGATTCCTCCTACCGTTGACTTCCATATACAGGGATCATCGGTGTGTGCCACCATGCCTGGCACCCACAGTTTGCTTTTAGCTACCAAAAAGCATTGTGTTTGCTAGACTTTGCACTGAGCTTCAGGTTCAATGACAGACTGATCCTCTCAAGGAGTAAGGTGGAGAGCGATGGAGCATCTCCAAACAGTGCACACAGCACAGCACACACATACCCAAGATAGAGAGAGGAAGGGGAGGAGGGAGGGAGAGGGGCAAAAAAGAACACCCCTAACCCTTTGAGTTTTTGCTGCCCGGCTTATCCTCCAGCTGACTTCATTTGCTTCTCTGCAGCTAACCCCCTCCATTAAGAGTTAAAGTTTGACTATCGTAGCTTTGAGTTCTAGAAGCTCATTCGTTATTTTTTTAATTTACTTATTGCGTGTTCACGGTAGATGAGTGTGTGCTATGGCCTGGGTGCAGAAGGCAAAGGACAACTTGCCGGAGCCAACTCTCTTCCTTCCACCGCGTGTGTCCGAGGGATCGAACCCTGGTGGGCAGGCTCAGCAGCAAGCACCCCTACTGGCTGAGCCATTTTGTGGGTCCTCTTTATTTTGTTTTAAACCTAGGGTCCTATTTTACAGTTCTTAATCCTATGCAGTTCGATCTTGTCTGGCACACAGAATTGTTTTACAACCATTCATTCCAACTTGAGAAATCCGTGCAGGTTCTCCCGTTGCCTGCTGTCTGTCATGGTCCTTACCTTGTGCACTATTCTCTACTGTGAACCGCTCGTCTCCTTCAGCGGTTACCTGCCAGGAGTTCACATCCTTTTCTAGAGAAGAATTGAGCATGCTCCCGCAAGGTGCTTGGCAGCACTTGCCAAATCTGGAGAGTTTTACACGTGGGCTTGGGAGCTCCTAGCTTACCCGAGCAACAAGACTCTGGCAAGGAGCAGCAAGTGTTCTTGTCTCGCCCGACTTTTCAGCCTAATCCACTCAGAGCTAGGGTAAGCTCCCTCTAATCCTGGCCTGGGGGTTCAAGGTTAAGTCTAGTTTATTCTTACGCAGAGTCCTCTGTGGTTACGGTTTAGCATGGGAAGGGTCAAAAAGTGGCAAACATGGAGAAGTTAACAGAACCAGAGGCTACAAGCGGAAGCTCTGAAATTTAAGCAGAGACTTTGAAGAGTAGGGAGTGTGGAAAAGGACAGAATGGTGTAGAGGCAATATTTAAAGAGACAACATCTTACAGAACACAGACATTTTTATACTCAAGAAGCTAAATTAACCCAAATTAAGATAAACACAAAGGAATCCTTCCATTTGTACACTTACAGTAGATTATATGTTTTCCTTTATTCTCCATAAACTACAATGAATGTAAGTGAATAGTCTACACTTTTCATAAGGAAAAAAATTGGGGTTCAGATAGCTTGACTGGGCTGTTTGAGGTCATAATACACTAAGGAGCAGAGGCAGAACTCGGGCCCAGTTCCAATCCATGTCGTGTTCCTTCTAATACATCAGTGTCCCTTCTCATACATCAATGTCCCTTCCCATACATCAGTGTCCCTTCCCATACATCAGTGTCCCTTCCCATATATCAGTGTCCCTTCCCATACATCAGTGTCCCTTCCCATACATCAGTGTCCCTTCCCATACATCAGAAGCAGAATACCACACAAACAGAAGAGGCTCTGAAAGGAGAGATGGAAATATGGATGAGGGACCACCCCCACAGCAGAATCCTTAACTTAGAAACATCTCCCTGAGCACATCTGTGTTTCCCTCGGAAGAAAGCACTGGACTGGAAAAGCTTGTGCAACAAATGGTAGGAAGGTTCTAGCTTGCCCCTCACTGTGTGAGTTAAATAGAGGTCCACATCAATTTCTTGGCCAAAGTCCAAGAACACCTCAGTCAGTTTATGGAACTGGTACACAGCAATCTATCCCACACTGCTCAACTGGCAAGACAGCAGGATAGGAGTGTCCTCCTCCTTCACTGCCAAAGACAGCTTAAACACTGTGGTTGGTAAGTCCACAGTTACATCTCCTTTGTTCATCCATACACTCTGACTTGGTAATTACTGCCTCTTTTCTAGTCTGGTGGCATTTCACTTGATTATGGATGGGTTTTATTTTGTTTTTCTGTTCATAGCACTGAATGAAGATATTTCTAAGAGGGAAGCCTGCAACTCGTTAGCACTATCAAGCTCCACACCCCAGATGTTAATATGCCCCTAACATCTCTCTGCCTGCCTGGCAAAAAGAGATCAGACAATTCTTCCCTGGAAGCTGCCTCTGTGACATATAAAGGCTGGGAGAACTACAACGCCTGAACCCATAGCTTGAGGCACCAGAGCCAAGTCCAGGAAAAGGGGCCAGCTGCCAGACAGTTCCACAGGAATGCCCCCCATGGATGACAGAATGTAGGTGTGACAATCACTATCTGCAGCAGCTGTGTATAAGACCTTATGCAAAAGAGCAGGGAAGGAGATGCAATTCTGATCTCCTGTGACATACATCTCAGTAGGGACACAGGAGCACCAAGATGGCTGACAACAGAGGAGACTAAGTATCAACCACGTCAGTGGTCCTGTTCAGAGTAAGAACAGACAGAATGGACAGAGATTCAACTCAGTGTGATGGTCAAATGGGTTTGTGTTCATCCACCCACCCATTCCACCCATCCATCCATCTACCCATCTACCTGCTCCTGACCTATCCATTCAGGGTTTGTTGAACAGCTAACAAAATTACCTATGCTGTTTAGGCACCAGAGCAACCAGGAAAAAATTTTGGAGAATTGGGTATCCAGTACTCAAAAGCCCCCGAGTTAACCATTTCTATTAAATCCTTATAACAGCCTGTAAAGTATGTATCCTGTCTTCATCTCACAGATGAAATGGGCTCAAAGTCCCTAAAGAGCTTGCTCAAGATCACAAGTTCAGTAAGTGGCAATCTGGGATTTGAACCAAGCTTTGCCTAGTTCTGAGTTTGTGTCCTTAATAAATTAATAATAACCACAGAGTTAATTATAGGATAGCCAGAAAATTGGTAGGCAACAGGGGTAAGAAATTCAAAGGAAGTGCAGAAGACACAATTTGGTCTAGAGAGTAAGTGATCTTGGGGTTTTTCCAAGTAGCCTAGCAAGAAGCAGTGTTGGGTGAAGGTACCAAACCTCGGGAAAGCAGACAGAAAGGTCTGCCTGTGGGAGGAAAAACAGCTCAACAGGCAGAAGTGGGAAAAAAGCACAGGATTGCCTGGTAGGAGGGCATCTTCGATAGTTTCTCCATCCCTTCTGTTAGTATTCAAGCATCTGTACTGGTCTGTCCTTGGGGTCCTGACAGGATACACCTTCAGCTGCAGCCACTAAGAACACCACCTGTGTGCATTCACTATGCTCCCTTTTAAAAGGGTCCTGCCCACCTCCCTTTCTCTCTCTCTCCCTCTTCCTCTCCCCCATCTCCCTTTCCCTCCCTCTCTTTCCCCCTCCCTCTCCTTCTCCCTCTCTCTCCCCTTCATTCCTCTTTGCTGCTTGCTCCTGTCCTTGGGGGCTGGTCTCCCTGTCACCTTTTTAAGATCCCTTTCCCTAATTAAAAAAAAAAAAACCCTCTGCTTGAGCCCTGTCACATGGTGTCTTTCTCTTGAGTGATGCTTTTCTTAAATAACAACATCTCCCACTCATCTGGAAAAGCTATTCCAGTGCCCTGCAGCCTCCCAAGCTCCTCAGCGGCCTTCTGTAGTGAGTCACCTGTGCCAGCCTAATGGTAAGCCTCACTTTGTGCCTACCAACTCCTATAGACAGAAGCATGCTTGAAGATTCTGCTTGCAACCTGAGGACAGAAGCTAAAAGGATCAGAGGGTGACCCTTCCAAGCTAGACCCCAGTTCTTACAGATGTCTACACAGAGTCAAAGCACTTTCCCATTCTACTTACAGTTTAGAGTCCAGCTTCAGGAGAAAACCCAGCCGATCATACTCTGAAAAGGAAAAGCAGAAAATGTCACTTAAGGCAAGCGACCACTGCCACTGTGGGTTGCATTCCCAGATCTACACCATGGGGACAGACAGTGCTTGGAAAAGAATGCATAATTCAAATGCTTCAAAGAACAGAAACAAACACATAAGCCATAAGCAATTTAGTCACGTAACGTCTACTGAGTCAAGAGCCAGGTTCGGAAGTGGCCATCTTCCAGGTCTTCCTGGCCATCCAGTCCTATGTTAATTCAGAATTGCTTTCTGGGATAGACATGGTGCTTGAGACTGAAATCTGGTCAATCAGAGACTGGACTCTGAAGAGGTCTGATGCCATCTTCGGTTCCTGAAAGCCCTGAACACAGAATCTGTTCAATGAGCCGGTCTCTGGTTAGCATCAGCTGTCAACTTGACACAACCCACAGTTATCTCAGGGCATCTCATTTGGGGGTTGTCTCAATCATAATGGCCTGTGGCCAGCTTCATGAAGCATTTTCCTAATTATTAACTGATATACGAGGGTCCTAGGTAGGTGTGCCTCAACTATACAAAAGAAAGAGTCGAACAAGCTAGGAGGAGCAAGTCAGTAAGCAGCAACCCTCCATGGTTTCTGTTTTAAAATCCTTCCTTGGCTTTGATGATGGGCTATAACCTATAAGATGAAATAAATCCTTCCTCCAAATCCAAGTTTTTTGTTGTTGTTTTGTTTTTCAAAACAGGGTTTCTCTGTGTAGCTCTGGCTTTCCTGGAACTCACTTTGCAGACCAGGCTGGCCTCGAACTCACAGTGATCTATCTACCTCTGCCTCCGGAGTGCTGGGATTAAAGACGTGCATTACTACCCCTGGGCCCCCAAGCTGGCTTTAGTACATGTTTTATCACAGCAACAGAAAACAAACTAGAACAGCTAGGCCAACTAGAGTGAAGATGTGTCATCCACAAAATCCTCAGACCCCATAGCAGCAACTCTCAGTGTAGGAACCATGGAGAACTGTTGGATCCAGGACCATAAAAAGGAGATTTAAGAACAAACATTGGCAAGATGCTTTATAACACATTGAAGCCACTAGCATCTTAATATTTTGCCTTGTTTTAAAGTGAGATTAAATCAAATTATAGTGGTTTAAATGAGAATGTGCCCCCATTGGCTCCGGCATTTGAATGTTTGGTCCCTAGTTGGTGACATTACTTGGGAAGACTTAGGAGGTGTGGCCTTGCTTAGAGGAAGGAGATCACTGGGGGTGGGCTTTGGGAGATTCAAAGACTCATCCCCTTCCTGGCTTGACCGCTCTGCTTCCTGATTAAGGTTGAATATGTGAGCCCTCAGCTTCAGTCTCTAGCTGCCATGCACCTCCATGACAGACTCTGATCTTCCCTCTGTAAATTGCCTTGGTCATGGTATTTTCTCACAGCAATATAAAATTAACTAACACACAGCTGTAAACATTGTGTAGACCATGGGCTTCCAGAAAGGACTGGGGGGAGACATATACAAAATAATAAAGTGCAGTTGAGGGGAGGGGAGCATGCCACGAGTGAATGTCCTTGGATCCCATGTGCTTACTGCAGATTTCAGATTTGTCCCCAAGATTTGCCACAGCTCAAATGAAATACAAAGCACAGGAGCTTCCATACAATAAAGTGAGAGACCCCTAGCTGTTTCACTTCAAGGATATTCTCTGTGGCCTCAAATATTTTTTTTTGCACAAGGAAAATGACGTGAGTGTCATGGAGTCGTTGTTTCCAGCATTGCTCAATGATGGCCATGTGTGTCTATGCCAAAGTGAGGTGTTTTATGAATGAGGTTGTAATGGAACATGAAGACCTAAACTCAGAACACAAAAGGCCAGGCAACAAGGCTTTTGAGGAGCTCAGATTTTAATAGGCAGCACATCATCAAGAGAGAGAGAATTCATGCACATCAAAAAGTACCACAGAGAACCAGTTGTGGTGGGGCACACCTTTAGTACCAGCACTTGGGAGACAGAGGCAGGCAAATCTCTTGAGTTCAACGCCAGCCTGGTCTACAGAGTGAGATCCAGGATAGTCAGGACTACACAGAGAAATCCTTGTCTTCAAAAACCAATAAAAGGGAGGGCACGGGAGGAGGGGAGGGAAAGGGAGAGGGACCTGGAACTGACTTGTGAACCAACCATGGTTCTAATCTAAATTTAAACATAAAAATAAAAAAAATTTCAAAAGGCAAAAAAAAAAAACAATAAAAAAATACCACAGAGTCATTCTTTGAGGCAATTAAGACAGGTACCTGGATATTACAGAGGGCAATGATAGGAGGGTGTGTGTGTGTGTGACATGCAGGCTGTGGGGGCCAGAAGATGACGTCCAGTGTCCTGCTCTATCACCGCCCCCCACTTTATTCCCTTGAGACAGGGTCTCTGACTGAACCTGGAGCTAGGCTACTGGCCAGCAAGCTCCAGCAATCCTCCTGTCTCTGCTCCCACAGAGCTGATGTTATGGATATGCATGGGCACACCTAGCTTTTTATGTGGGTGATAGGGATTTGAACTCAGGTCCTCATGCTTGATCTTGCCAAGATCACTTGGTCACAACAATCATAAGCAGAGACAATGTGAAAAGAAAATTTCAGTCAAGTTTTTTTTTTTTTTTTTTTGGTTTTTACAAGACAGGGTTTCTCTGTATTGTTTTGGAGGCTATCGGTCTAGCCCGGCCTCGAACTCACAGAGATCTGCCTGCCTCTGCCTCCCAAGTGCTGGGATTAAAGGCGTGCGTCACCACCGCCTGGCTCAGTCAAGTTTTTTTTGTTTGTTTGTTTTGTTTTGTTTTTTGGTTTTTACGAGACAGGGTTTCTCTGTATTGTTTCGGAGGCTATCAGTCCAGCCCGGCCTCGAACTCACAGAGATCCGCCTGCCTCTGCCTCCCGAGTGCTGGGATTAAAGGCGTGCGCCACCACCGCCCGGCTCAGTCAAGTTTTTAAAGTAACCAATTTTGTGTGTGTGTGTGTGTGTATCTTTGTGTCTGTATGAGCTACTCCTATCCCCAGTGGCCAGTCTCCTCCCCTCCCCTTTCTCCCTTTTATGAACCCTTTCGCCTAATAAAAACCCCTCTACTTGAACTCAGTGTTGCATGGTGTTTTCCTCTTGCATGCTGCTTTTTTTTTTTTATTACAACACAATGAAGTTAAAGAAAGTGACCACAACTTAGTTTTTTGTATGTTTGTTTTTGAGACAGGGTCCCATTGTGTAGCCTTAGCTGGTCCAGAGCTTGCTATTATAGACCAGGCTGGCCTCAAACTCAGAGATCTGCTTCTGCCTCCAGAGTGCTGGGGTTAAAGGTGTGCACCACACCTGGCTTCAGAACTACAGCTCTGAATGAACTGAACCTACATGCTCTAACTCTGGACTTGTCAGTCAGAGTGGCCATGGGTTTTTGTTACTACAGAAATATCAAGAACTTCCCTGAACTTGTACACTGAGAACAATAAAGGGACAGAAGGAGCTCAAATAAAGAATATTTCTGTGGTTGCATGTGATGCGTCCTGCATTTTCAGCAGCACTGGCAATTTACATGGTTAGTTAGTTGGTTGTTCTTTTGGTTTTCTGTGGTACTGAGTGAGGAGAGAGGACCCAGAGCCACACACCCATGCAAGGCAAGCTGGGCTTGCACCACCAGCCCAACAGTATGGTTTTAGGTTCAAATTGAGGGAAGGGTCGACTGCAGAGGCCACCAGGGACTGCCAGAACCACGGCAGACCAGCAGGCTGCCCCTGGGCTGGCCTTACTTCCCCCACAGGAGTTTTCATCACAACTTTCCAACATGGCCGCCAGCAACTGGTAGTTGGTATCTCTGGCATTGCTTGGGAAAGGAAGAGCAATTCATCTCCTCTGTTCCTGATCTGGAAGCCCCTAGTGAGGGATGG